TCTATTTTTTCATATTTCTTTGGACGTCTTTCGAAAGAAAGCAGGCAGAGGGCCTTATTACGGGTGATAAGGAAGTGATACTCATAATAAGAGCCGTGATTACCGTACAAATCAAATGGGAATCACTTCACCGTGACGAAAAGTGACAAGTTTTCACCGTGAAGTGACATCCGTAATAAGTCCCAGAACTTTAAATTATATTTGATCAGTAGAGGGTAAAAAATTGCTTGATTTGGAAATGCAAAGCTCTCCAAAAACTTCAAAGCCGCTTCTTGCAACTATTTTAGCAGTTCCACGAATTGATATCTTGCAACCCTCTCCGATTTGCATGATATTTTGCACTATTGTTTGTTATGGTCAATTATTTACATTTTACAGAGCTTTAAAATGGCGTATTCGAAATTTTTCAACAAATCATAACTCAAAAACTTAACATCCAATCAAGCCATATTTATAAAAGCAATCATGCAAAATTTAAGAATTTAATAAGAAAACGTTTGTAATATCAGTGGTGTGCATATTGGTCCAAATTGACTTGAGTAATATTTTGTTAAGAAAAACTTTAATGTTCATTGAAAACTAGGAAAACATCGTGTCATATAAGAAACCATTATACACTACTCAGTTTTTGCTTTTGACATGTCACGCAACTCTCTTAGAAGACCATTTTTGTTGGCTTTACGGTTACTTTTTATAATTTGGACACCAAACTAGTATGTTGATAACATACAATAAATAAATTTATATAGCTGCTGAACGAATATTTGTATTATTATAGTCCATCTGAATTGGTAGTCTCAACAAAATACTTAAATCTAAATGTAATCACTCATAAAAAATTCAAAATTGGCCGACAGCAAGCGATGACGATATCTGGAGGCATTGATGTCAAAGTCAAATAGGTCAGATACTTCGTTGAGTTGATGAATCTTGGCGACAAAGTAACTGTTTGTAGCATAGTTCGTTGCATGTACTTCTTCGTGTAGCAAGGCTCTCGGACGGAGTGTTCGGGCAGGAGCATACAGATTAATTTTGACCAGTAACTCAGGGACATCATACTCTGCGAGCAAGACTTAAGCAACGAAGACGGCCTGCGATCCGTGCCGTCTCTCAGCAAGAGTAACCAAACCCAGCAAACGACAGCGGTCAGCATACGATAGTAAATTCAGCCGTTCACTCTGACGAATTTGCGTTGAACAGTTTTGAATCGTTCACTCCATACTGCTTGGTTGGGATTCCAGACCATACACGCGAATTCCAGTAGTGAGCGTACCAATGAACAGTAAAGGGCTTTAAAACACAGAGGATCACGAAATACCTTAGAGATCTTGAACATGAATCCAAGTTGACGATTTGCTTTGTCGATCGTGGTTGAGAAGTGGGGAGTGTATGTGAGATTTTCATCCTACATGACCCCGAGGTATTTAACGTGATCGATACGTGGAAGTGCAGTCTCAGCAACGTTATAATCAAACAAATTGGCAAAATTAACGATAAGTTATAAGAGACTACTGATAGACCTTATTTTCTGATTCAGAAACCTTATAAATTTTTTGTCTTTTCGAGCTAGTCCAACATTTTTAGAATATTTGCCTTGAAGAAAAGTATTGTTTTAGACTAAAATAAAAAGGATATTTCAAGTAGGCTTCAAGCATTAAGCTTGCAACAGTTTTTTTTTATTTGTAAAATATGTTAGTAAGTTTATATATGTTGAGTGGTCAAATTGTCTATTTGGTGAAATTGCCCCACTTTCCCCTACACTAGAGCAGTTCCACACCAAATGATGCATCGGAAAACTCGACCAGCTCAAAGGAACGAATATCTCGGTACCTTAAATTGGTATAGATGAGCCTGACATAAGAGGTAAAATACCAAAAAAAAAAAAAATGTTCCCACAATACCGTTCCCATACCAAATTATGATAATGCAATACCAAAGCAATACCACACAGGTATTCTTTTGGTTTCCAAATAGGTTTTTTTTTTATTATTTACAAAGTATTTTGCATGAATTTTTTTGGTATTATTCTTTGGTATTTTACCTCTTATGTCATGCTGATCAACACCAAATTTTGAAATCAGGTCAGAATTAGGTATTCATAAGTTATTTCTCCTGTTCAGGTAAGGCTCGTCAATACCGTATTTTGGTTGTCAGGTATGCTATTTTCATACCTGAATTTGATATTAATAAGTTATTTTCTACTGCTAGGGTTCTTTCTCCGAGAGGCTTATGAATACCATATTCAGATTCAACCTGGTATATACAAGGTGTGGAGATCTAGCCCTCACGTATGTGTTGGTAGAGGGAACAAGTAAACATTGCAGGAGAGGATGACCACGACGTCATAGCACTCGAAAGCAAATTTGTGAAATATGAAGTACAGCAAATTTTAGATATGTTTGCATGATGATTGCGCTTGCTTGTATGCTTTTGTAAAGTATCCGGGAAATATCAGCAGGCGTTTTGTAATTCCTTACTTGGAAACGGGCAAAACTCACCAGCAGGCTGCTTTTTCATGGTATACAGTGTGCTACAAAATAATCAATACATTATCTCAACATTCAGTGGAAAAACATTCATAAATTTTGGCTTCATACAGAAATTCTATAATTCATATTCAATTTCCATACCACTGCGTCCTAGCAAGAAGTACGGTCGACTTGTTTCGCGCTCCGTTGTTTTGGAAGTTTTCTCGGTATTCGCTTGATATAAATTATCAGTTTTTTTCTCACTAAGTGACTCCTGGCATAGTTCCCGGTAAATTGATCGAAAAGTGAGTTTTTTTTTTAAGTAGAAAGTGTCATTTTCGGAACGATTAATCCGTGCTATTGGTAATTCGCAAACCAATTTGGGCATCATCGTTGCGTGGTCACGCATACGCGCTCACGCATACCCGCTTACGTATCATCATCATCGAGTGTGAGCACCCGTTTCTACATCGTTCATCAATCATCGTGCGCCTGTGTGCGCTGAGTACCGAGCCTCGATCAAGTGCACCACAACGAAGGTCATCCACGCAGCGCGTCTCTTCCAGCCATCTGTGTAAACGCCTACACATATAACGCTCGGTGGTAGTAGTATAGGATTATCAGATAAGTTTTTGTTTTTTTTGACGTTGGATAACGTCTTTCGGCAACATACGGGGGTACAAAATTGAAAACAGTCATTTTGGATGAGTTACGAAAAATTAAAAGATTTTGAACGATAATAACTCAACCATCTCTCGATAGATTTACGAGATAATGGCATCAATCGATTGGAAATATTTCTAGCAATTTACTGAATGTTTCAAAACTATTGATTTCATTCTGTAAACTATTGAAAAATGGTTAAAAGTAAACCATTGTCTAAAGATGGTGAAAATTGATTGATTTTTTATATATTCTTATACTTTCTCCAACTGAGACATCAGATGCGAGTATCTGACACCTCTGATATTTTCTGTTCTACTATATAAGCGTCCAACAAGGTCGCCCGTTCCATCATTGTCTATCCGATCGTCGACCCAGCAGCAGAGCAGCAGAGCAGCGGAAGCAGAGCAACGGCAGCAGAGCAGCGGCAGCAGAGCCTGGGGGCGAAAGGGCAACTACGCCGAGTGCGCGGGTGCCAGTGCTCCGGTATACTGGGCCGCCGTCATGGAATGCCCAGCTGCTGCAGTTCTCAGTCGGTCGTATTCACCGGGCAACTACGCCGAGCGCGTTGGAAAAATGGCCCTTTTCAGGGCCACAACATTATCAAGAAAGAGTTTAACGATTAATTTTCTAATGCCTTTCCGACACTTTTTTCATGACTTTCATCGGCCTCCTGATATTCATGTGATTTTGTGGTGGGATTTTTAGCTATGTGAAATTCACATGGTTTTCATCCATTAGATACCTATGTGGTAAATTTTTTGAGTGTGCTTCGGCAATCAAAATAAAGTTTGCACGATGGAAGCGCACATCGTAAATTTCGTTCATTTTAGTAATAATTAAATTGCCCCTCTCCCCCTAACCTCTGGCAGTACATGAAAAGCCTTTTTGTGAGGGGAATTTTTCAAAAGGATGCCGATTGAAATAATGGGTACCATTTTCTGAGGATGAGATGAGGACGATTCGTCATCCATATGAAGCGTGTCACGATCATTCCCAAGGATTCGTGGTTAACGCGTCTTATTTCTCTGTTAATACCGGTTAAACTCAATAAGAGGATTGTGATCGACTGGTTCCTCTCAAAATATCTGTTTGGATTTCATCCGAAGTTTCGGTCGCATATATTGTGCCTTTTTGAAGGAATCTCTTGGACTCTATATGTTGGCAGAATGTTCTACTTTAGTATTTTGTGTTCACCTACTAACCAGGCTCGGTTTTATTGTTCTATGAGCCCACAGTATAGGCGTAATAATAATCTAGAAGTATCGCTTCAATAAGATTAACCGGTTGACTAAGCAAAGAAGACCGGAAGTCCCAACGGTAATGGTAAATGTTGAGCAATGAAGGAACAATACGCACACCACGATCATTTCTGAAATCTCAACCGTAATTTGCTAATGAATTTCATTCCGCTGCATCAATGTAGGCCATAAGCCCAGGGCCACCGCAGCTCTGCAAGGTAGGGGAAATGGATCTAAGATTGGGCCCATCGCTAAAAATCTGCTATTTACCAATCTTATCTATATGAACGCGTCGTTGGGACGGTACTGATGGATATTTTAGGGCGCTATTGAAAATTTAGTCGTTAGTTTAATTTTAGATATGGATGGAATGATAACACTGCACTGGTTAATTTCTTGGAATTCAAGACACGCCTACACTAATCAACCATCATCGAACTTACTCGATGAGGATATCAATTAACTAGGGAGAGCATGACAGAAAGATTCAACCATGTTTTTAATGGATTCATTTTATCACTCCTTGCGCACCACAAAGGAAACTGTTTTGAAAACGAAACTCTTTACCATCAAATTGGTCGTCCTGAAAAGGACGGATTTTGTTAAAGGGTGGGAACTTCGATCGAATTTAAGCCTTCTTTTCGGTCTTCTTGGGCAACAGGACGGCCTGGATGTTTGGCAGGACACCACCCTGAGCGATGGTCACTCCGGAAAGAAGTTTGTTCAGCTCTTCGTCGTTGCGGATGGCCAACTGCAGGTGACGTGGGATAATTCGGGTTTTCTTGTTGTCACGAGCGGCATTTCCTGCCAACTTGAGAACTTCAGCGACCAGATACTCCATCACGGCAGCCAGGTAGACGGGAGCACCGGCTCCAACACGCTCGGCATAGTTGCCCTTTCGGAGGAGACGGTGAATACGACCGACTGGAAACTGCAATCCAGCGCGGCTCGAACGGGACTTTGCCTCCTTTTCCACGTCCAGACATAATGCGAACGACACGAACAGTTCGATGCTGAAACTGTAATGATGACATTTCGTTTTTTAGTTTTTAGTTAGTTTAAATGATCTTTATTTTAGTTTAACTTGGACGATTACCATATAAATTTTTACTAAGTGATTTAATTGCTTTCTTCATCTTTAGGTATGGGCAAAATTCAAAATTTGTTTTACAGAATTAGTCCTAGACTTAGTACACGGTCGACCACCTTGGTGGGATTGGTTTGTTTTGTTTTTTAGAATTTGAAGAGAAACTACTTAATACTATTATTTACAGCTTAAAACTAACCTACTCTACTATATACACTTAACCTACTATGTACAAATTGCTTATTAAAGCATGTTCAGAAAGATTGCATTTTTGGATAAATTTAGTTGTCATATCATCAATTTTGGAATCTACTTTGGGAATTTCTGCCTCTTGATGGAGGTCTGCTATTCTTGTGTCGAATGGACGATCTAGGATCATCCTCAACACTCTATTCTGTGCAACCTGGATTTTGTTCCTGTGGGTCTGAGCGCACGATTCCCACACCGGGGCGGCATAGAAGATCGCGGGGGCTATGATCTGTTTGTAAACAGCCAGTTTGTTTTGCCTTGAGAGGCGGGATCTGCGGCAAATGAGCGGATACAAACACCTAACCAAGGCGGAGCACTTAACTAGGGTTTTCTCTATGTGCGAGCGGAACAGGAGCTTCTCATCGAACAACATCCCGAGATAAGTAACATCAGTGGACCACTCGACCCTTGTACCATCCATTATTACGGTACAGGAGGGAGACGGTTTAAGTTTTAATGATTGTCTGTGAAGGAACATGATCGCTTGGGTTTTCGAGGCGTTGATTTTGATTTTCCACGTGGTGGCATAATCAGTAAAGGTGTCAAGGCATCGTTGGAGCTTGTTCGTAATTTCACGAGGCATCCTACCCTTGACAGCTATCGCTGTGTCATCTGCAAACAGAAAGAACACGCAACCGTCTCCTAGAGGAGGGATGTCCGACGTGTAGATGCTGTAAAGCAGTGGTCCCAGCAGACTCCCTTGCGGAACACCTGCTGGGATCGGAAATTGTCCCGAAAGGGAACTATTCAACGACACCCTGAACGACCTTTGCTGGAGATAGTTACGGGTGATTTTCACAAGGTATGGTGGAAAGTTGGAGTTACAAAGCTTGTATATAAGTCCGTCGTACCAGACATTGTCAAACGCCTTTTCGACGTCTAACAAGGCCATGGCTGTGGACTTGGATACAGCTTTGTTACTCCGGATGTTATTCATCACCCGCACTAGCTGATGATTGGTGGAATGCCCCTTACGGAACCCGAACTGTTCCGGAAGAAGAATGTCATGTTCCTCCACAAACTTGTTTAGTCGGCTGAGGATCAATTTTTCGAACAGCTTGCTCAGCGCTGAGAGCAGGCTAATCGGTCTGTAGCTTGACGGTAGTGAAGGGTCTTTCCCAGGTTTGCGGATCGGGATGATTTTTGCCACCTTCCAGATGCTTGGAAAGTAGTGCAGCTCCAAGCATCTGTTGAGGATGGCAGCCAGCAGCGAGTGCACCCTCGCGCTGAGATTTTTCAACTCTAGGTTGAATATTCCGTCAAACCCGGGAGCCTTCATGTTCGTACTGTGTTTCAGCGCTGAGCAAATTTGTTCCTCTGTAATCCGTTCTTCTGGAGGGACGGCACAAGGGGAGGCATCTAACGTCTGGACGCACTGCACAACCTGGTTCTCGAGTGGACTTGGGATTGTAGAGCCAAGCAAATGCGACTGGGCAATGTGCTCCCCAATTGCATTGGCCTTCTCTTCGTTGGTGATAAGCCGTTCGTCATTGACTCTAAGTGGTGGAATGGGCTTGGGGTGAGACTTCAGCACCTTGGCAACCTTCCAGAATGGTCTGGAACGGTCGTCCAGGTTCTGAACGAGCCGCCCGAAACTCTCGTTCCGGATTGAGACCATTCTGGAAGCGATCTGCCGATTCAGATCGACCATTTCGTATTTACGCTGCAGATCCCCAGTCCGCTGAAACTGGCGTCTACGAACATTTCTGAGCCGAATCAAGAGTTTGGTGTGGGAATCAATTGCTTGAAACTTACCCCTCACAGGAACTCGTCGAACGCACTCTTCGTCAGCCACGGATATGGCTTGATGGAGACCCTCCAGGGCCCGGTCGATGTCATCCACTGTGTCGAGCGGTGGGTTGTCGTCGATGTGGCGGTCGACCACGCATCGAAACTGGACCCAGTTGACTCGATGGTAGTCCTTCCGCTGGCACGGTGCAGGGGCCACGTTGTAGCCCAGCTCGGTCAGCACCGGTTGGTGGTCCGAACTCAGGTCGTTGACGGCAACCGGCTTGGCTAATCTGGTGTTTGCCAAGAACAGGTCCAGCGTCGATGGGTTGCCCGTCGGTGATGTGAAGGTTGGTTCGTCCGGAAACCAGACGGAATAGAGACCATGCTGGGAATGGTCGAATAGCAGGCGGCCGTTCTGGTTCTGCTGGTAGTTCCGCCAGGCCTCGTGCCGGGCGTTCAGGTCCCCTCCGATTACAAAGCGGGCATTGGTGTGGGTTATGATAGCAAGGTCGTTCTTGAACTGCTGTGCTGTACCATTGCTAACGGTACATTGCCGGGGGCAGTAGGCGGCGATGAACCGGACGTTTCCGGTCGATGTTTCCACCTCTACGCCAACGGCCTCGATGATGGAAGTGCGGTAGTGGGGTAGGGTGCAGTACTTGATGCCTTTCTTGATGATGACCGCGACACCGCCCCCCCTGGAGCTGGTGCGATCAAGCCGGACAATGCTGTGGTCGGGCAGCCAGAAGCTGTCACCGGTCTTGAGGTGAGTCTCGGTGAGAAGGCCCACGTCGATGTCGTGCTTGCGGAGGAAGTCTGCAAGCTCAATGTTTTTCGCCCCTACGGAGCGAGCGTTCCAGTTGGCGATCTTTATGGGTTCACGGTCCATAAATAGCGACGAAGGAGATGATAGCTTGGAGCTGTTGTGTTCTTGTTGCGCAGGTGCGCTTGATGATGAAGGCCTGGGCCAACAGTGTGACGATCTCATCCGTTGACAGCGGAGAATCGTCTGTAGCTTCACCGGTTGTACCGGCCAATCCCGGAGCAGGGGGATCCGTCGATGGCCCGGAGGCTTGACCGGGTACTGCAGCGGCAGCCAACTGTTGGTTGAGCGGGAGCGGCGGCAACACTGGAATTGGCCGTGATTGGACCGGTGATAACGGAGGAAAGTTCTGCGCGTTGTTTTCTGGAACCTTCTTGCGACCGGGCTGGCTGTTGGACGAGGCCTTCTTCCGGATCTCGGCGTATTCGGCCCGCTTCGGACAGGCCTTACTCGTGGCCTTGTGGGCGGCACCGCAGTTGGCGCATGTGGGAGTGGCTTCCTCGATGCTGTCGCAGTTGTCGATCTTGTGGTTTTTGCCGCATTTGATGCAGCGGCTGGCCATGCGGCAATTCCTGGTGCCGTGCCCGAACAATAGGCAGTTCGAGCACTGAGTGACGCCACGGTGGGTGGGTTTATACCGCTCCCACTTCACTACGATGTGGAACAGTGTGCGTGTCGTCTGGAGATCCTTCACGGTTGTGGAGTTCTTCTCCAGATGGACCAGGTAGAGCTGGTCACGATACTTGATGGCCTTGCTGCGGGTCATCTTGTGGACTTCGACCGGCTTGAGGCCGTTCGCCTTAATCTCGTCCATTAAGGTGGTGGTGTCCATGTCGTGGAGCCCGCGCAGCACCACTTTCAGCGGCTTGGTGGCCTCGATGTCGTGGGAGAAGTACTCCAGCTTCATTCTGTTCAAGAGGGCCTGAACTGCGTTGAAGTGTTTTTCGGCCGGGACCATCAGTTTGTAGCCTTCCGTGCACCGTTGAATGGTGCAGCGAAGGCCCTGCTTAATGTAGAAATCCAGCTGCTCCCATAGCCCGGGAGGGAAGCCCTTCACATAGAAGGGTGGCATCTTAACTTTTTTCGGCACCGTCTCAGGGTCCGACTGCGGCTGCGCTCCGTTCTGCAGGGCGGAGAACGGATTGTTGCTCAGCAGCTTTTTTGCTGCTGATACGGTGGCGCTGCTGTCTTCAGGTCTGGGTCGTTTAGTTCCGGGAGGCCCCGGCTGCGGGTCCGCAACGCCTGTCGGGATGGGCAATGGGGTTTTCTTCTGCTTCTTCTGGGCTGGCTCGGTGGTCGCGCCGTCTCCTGGGAGAGTCTGTTTTCCCGGTAAACCGGCACTCGCGTTACCGCGCGATTTCTTACCCATGGCTGGGTCAGCGAGAGCGTCACTACACAACGCGGAGCTAATTCGACTTGCGAACGAACGAACGAAACTAGAGAGAATTCAAATAGACTGAACTGCTCAACAGTCTGGCAGCGAATGATGACATTTCGACCGTCGAGGGTGGTTTTATACCTGCGTCGAGTAGCATATTATGAATACAGGGACGGTACAATAAATACTGTGGGTAGCAAAATACTGACAATGGGATGAGTGTCGGTTGTCTCTACGGGCATGAAACGAGACAGCGTTGCCAGTATTCGTGATTTATTTGATTTTCCAGATTTTCAATCGTCTTGCCAGATACTAACCCAGATATAATTCACTTATATGTTATTACGTTTATTTCAAGAATTTTTAATTATGTTCCGGATTTTCCCAAATTTTTTTAAATATGTTGCTTTAGAGAATTTCCAGCCCAAAACGAAAACCGGTTGGACATGAGCGTTTCCGAATTCAGTCCAATAGAGGCGATGGGGGCAAGAAGACCATACGGGGCGAGATGGGCCACCGTTCGTTTGGGCATAATACCTATTAACTCAATCAATTTTTTTTACAAACTTGTTGAAAATGCTTCTAATATGCATCTCCATGAAAACCGTATCAAAATTCAATTACATGTCTAAGATAATAATGGAAATGTAACATTAGCTCAAAATCTCTAGAATATTATAAGATATGCAGTCAAGCAAACAAGCATCACATTCACTATATTACATTTTACTGATCCGCTGGTTCTACAGCG